GTGTGCGTGTTCTTTAGATCCTCAGATGGCTCTAGCACTTTCGTGACCACGGGCTGAGGGTCTTTGCTAGATTTTGGCATTTAGTAACTGGCATACATACGGTTTAATGTGAAGTCAACAACAACAACAAGGGCCTGGCAAAAAAGAGTTCTGGACCAGGTGATTTAGAACCAGTTTGTTTCAAGGATTCCAAAAATATATATATTTTTCACAGCGGTGGTGGGGGCACGACAAATCGTTATTTACCGGTTCCGCCACGTTTTTGGTGAAACGGTATATTCGGCATAACTCGTCACCAAGGTGTCTCTGAAAGCTGAAAGTGGGTTCATTCGAAAGTCCTGGTTCGTAGCTTTCGAATGGTGTATATTTTGTTGGGTAAATAACCAGGCCCTAGAGAGAAATTTATCAAGTGGCCTGTGGGCGGGTCCAGGAAAACTACCACTTACTCCCCGTACCCCAGGAATGTTCCGAGAAATGCTTCTCTGACATGGAGACCTATCAGATTCGATCAAGTCGTCAGTTCAACGTACACATCCAATCACAAGGGGACAGCGCAACGCACAGCAGCACGAGTATTGCCAGCGGACCTTTGAGGAACTGAGGAACTACAGCAGTTGCGTGCCATAGAGGCCATCAGATTCGATCAAGTGGAGCCAAGTCGTAGGCACCACTGCTCCAACTTCCACCCTTTCTGCCTCCCCCATTTGCCGTTCACCCATTGCAGCGGACAGCGCATAGCAGAAAGAAACGCAAGCACTGCCAGAGGACCTCTGAGGAACTGCTGTTACGGGTCCTAGCTATTTATATTAAACAGAGCAGTGTCTAATTGCTGTCGTCGTCGACATCCTTAACAATATGGCAACGGAAACCGCCCTTCCTCCATCAGTCCTGGGTGCGGATGCGCCCAAAGCGGTCTCCTTTTCAAGCTCGGATGCGCCGATCCAGGCTGTGANCAGCAGCACGAGTATTGCCAGCGGACCTTTGAGGAACTGAGGAACTACAGCAGTTGCGTGCCATAGAGGCCATCAGATTCGATCAAGTGGAGCCAAGTCGTAGGCACCACTGCTCCAACTTCCACCCTTTCTGCCTCCCCCATTTGCCGTTCACCCATTGCAGCGGACAGCGCATAGCAGAAAGAAACGCAAGCACTGCCAGAGGACCTCTGAGGAACTGCTGTTACGGGTCCTAGCTATTTATATTAAACAGAGCAGTGTCTAATTGCTGTCGTCGTCGACATCCTTAACAATATGGCAACGGAAACCGCCCTTCCTCCATCAGTCCTGGGTGCGGATGCGCCCAAAGCGGTCTCCTTTTCAAGCTCGGATGCGCCGATCCAGGCTGTGACCGTGTTCTGCAAGGGCAAGGCTGAAGTCACGCGTGTCATCAACTTCTCTACGCCGTCTAGCCTCGGTCGCCATGAGGTGTGTCAGCGTTACAGCAGATTAGGGAATCGTACGCAGTTCGTGGTGGTGGAGCATGAGGATGGACATGGGTCGTGTGTTCTCCGTTTTCTCTTCTTCTACAGAATACATTACTAGAGTTGGAGGTGGAATAGTTTTTTGTGGTGGTTGCACAAAAGTACCTGCAGTAGGCTCGTGCGTTACAGAAGAACGGGGGGCGGTCCATCATCACCAGCTAGAAAGAGGGGTGGTTGTTGTTGTTGTTGTCTTCACATTAAGGGTACCCAGACAAGGGATTTTGACGCTGGCTCTTTTCTCATACTTTATAACAGTACAAAGAAAGAAAACAACCTTCCCGCCGGAGGAACCTGGTCCGTTGTGCTAGTATCAGTAGAGGATATCATCAAGAGGCGTCGTGCGTGCTGGCACGTTCAGGTATACTACTGGGGCTGAAATATCGAAGGTCGCAGCAGCCTCTGAAAACGGTCCGAAATCTGCGCCGGAACCAAGCGGAACCCAACACTTGTCACAGCGGTGCTCACCACCACGGACCGCAAACCCCTCAACTGCGGGTTGTCAGCAGTAGCTGGTGGCATCAGCTACTGCTGTAAACCTGCAGTTCAGAAGATTGGGTTCAGTGGCGGCGAGCACAAGCAGTACAAGACACTGGGTGTCGATCTAACTTGCGGAGATTTGCGGAGATTGTGGGCCACTACAACGACACTCGATACCACCACCACAGAAGAAGTTTTGAGCGCGCCAACACACCCCCCCGCTGCTATAGGGTGTCCTCTAGTGATATTGGTACAATGGACCAGGTTCCTAGCAACACCGGCCTTATTTGAGCGCCTTCCGTTTGGGCTCTTTTGACTTGAATTTAGACTGGTGTGGATTTTTATCTTGGTTTCAAAGGATGCGTGTGGAGGTAGACGCGCGAAAAGCACGTTTTGAGCGGTCTCTACTGCTGCCCTGTGCCAGAATTTTGGACTTGTATTTTTTGCGATGCCTTCCGACTGGTCTTATGTGTCTCTAGTGCATTTTCCGGCGCTCTTGCGTTTGTTTTCGAAATTAGGCAACATAGCAGG